TGTGTGTGTGGTACTCACGCTGTGTGTGCAGCAGCGGTCACTTCATCAGTCTGACGCCACAGAAGCAGGAACAGAACAGCAGGTGTTTCCGAGCCGGACTCTGGAAACAGCTTCAGCTTCTCGGAGCACATACGTCATTTCTGCGCAGGTTGCACGCGCTGCAGAAAGAGCTTGTGAGCACGAGCTCTATCAGCACAGCACAGGCGGCACGAACTGCATGAAGCCCCGCCCACCGGACACCTGTCACCTGCCTGATAGAAACAAGAAGCGAACCACCCCCCGGGCACTGTGAGTACTGACATAGGTACTGCATGTGCTACCAACACAGAGCGCCTGCAGTACTCGGAGCCACTGCTCAGTATTATTGAATAACACACGTTGGATCGGTATTCAATCAGTCCGCGTGCTCGTGAAGTCGCTCGGTGAAAAGTTGCTGGTAGCCAGAGAGTCTGGGTCTCGGCAGGAAGGCCAGTGCAGAGCGCCCCCTCGTGGTTGTGTTTATGTGGCTGAAGGTTTTTATAGTTGAGACCTAATAAAGAAAAGTGAAGGTAAAATGATTTTAACGATAAAATAAGGGACAGAAATGTGATGACGCTGTTAGTATAAGAGCAAAGTGAAACTAGTGATAGTGATAGGCAATCGATTGTGTTATTGGTTTATTTGCATTTGTCTATTGAGTTTCTCACGCGTGTTTTTGTAAAACCACACTGACTATCAAACGGAGATGACGTCACGCACATTTATTCATTTCTTTAATTGTTTTTTTTTCTAACAGATTTTTTTCTTACAGTTTTTGCCTCCGTGGTGTCACGTGACGTTGTTTCTGGTGGGCGGCAGGTTTCCTGTCGTTTATTTATTTGACTGTATTTATTATTTATTATTTCGTTTGTGGGCGGGGCTTCGTCTTCAGTCTCTTCTCTGTCAGAGCTGTTCGTCTGTGTTTGGAGCAGCAGCATGTGAGTACAGCCCTGCTGTTGTTTGTTTGTTTGTTTGTTTGTTTGTTTGTTTGTTTGTTTGTGCAGTCACAGATCAGTTTCTGGCTTTTTAGGATGCGTCTCCATGGTAACAGTCTTGCTCCAAACCAAAACACTGTGAAACATTTGGGATGTGAGCAGCACTGACAGCTGCACAGCTTAGTGGAGATGCAAGGTTAGCGTGGAGGTAAATATAATGACAGCACTGCGAGTGGGTGAGGTGTTGTTCAGAGCGGTGATGGAGCTGAAACAGGTTTAGAGTAATATTGTAATAATACTGTATAATAATAACAACAACAACAATAATAATATAATGATATTGTTGCTAATTTGACATTTGTGGGTGAAGACTTTGTTCTGAGCAGATCAAACAAAGGCGCGTGCGTCCTGTCAGCGTGCGTCCTGTCAGCGTGCGACAGCCCCGTTTCCTGTCCGTGTGGTCAGACCAGAGCGCTCTGACGTGATCGGACTCTGATGTTTGTTTGGTGATGTCACAGAGGACCAGTCCTCGGGACGTGTCTGTGCTTCGGCCTGTTGTCTGACCTCAAATAAAACAGGAGTAAACGTCTGACACGGGGAAGGCGAGCACGCCGCCGGCCTCCATCACTGACCTACAGTCAGCTTTAGTCTGTGATCCCATGCCAACATCAAACTGAAGTCTGGATGCAGTGCGGCTGGGTCACACCTGAGTCAGGACCCTGTCAGGGAGGGGCTTGAACGGTTTCCATGGCCACACATTATATCAGCGTTACAGGACGTGACGCTTTATGTTAAATAACGATGATAAATATTGATGAATACAAAAACACATTTGTGGTCTGTCATGTGACTGCTGTGAAGCGTTGCTCACGACCTCAGCACAGGTGATGATGATGATGATGATGAGCTCACTGCAGCTGTTACAGTACGCTGAGTGTGAGGCTTCTGAGTGGGAGGAGCTCAACACGGTGAGCGTGGATGGATGTAGTCCTGCGCTTGGCTGGAGGTCACTTCACTGTAATCCTGTCAGTTTCTTATCAACAACAGTTCACTAGTGAAAGAGCACAACAGGCTTTTATTGTGAAAGGCAAGGACAGGAAGAGTCCTTTTGAATAGAAAACACTGAGGAAGAGGAGTCACATGACAGGATGACAGAATCCCTCCTTTTACA